CATAAAGAGAGTCTTTAAAACTCCATTTATATAAAGTTCAAATATAGGCAATATGAAAGCTCCGTCATTAGATGCTGGAATGTTAGTTCCAGGAAGATGTACTGATTGGGAAGGGATAGAGGTGGCTTTGGAGTGAGTGCTGGCAGTGGTCAACTTTGTAACTGACTGGTAGTCATTATTCAGATGTTTGCTTTGTGTTAATATACTAAGCTATAGAGATGGGTGCTTTCTATGGGATTTCACAATAATAAAGTTTTAAAGTGATTATGACACTCAGTATTTAGAACATGAAAATGCCTTATCATCACACATATTCATACATATAACCATACATACATACATACATACATACATACATACATTGATGCTACTTAACTCCTTTGGTGTTCTCTCAATTAAGACCAAAATGTCTGGGTTTGATCTCCTTACTAACTGTGTGATCTTGGAAAAATCTGTGCCTCAGTTTCCTCAGCTATAAAATCAGAGCAATGTTAAAATGAATTATGAGATCTGAAAGAATTCAGAAAATAGCAACTGCTCAGAACAGAGTCTAGAACACAGTAATGAAACGAAACAGCTGCTCCTACTACTCACCTCAACTGGCCTCAGGCTCTCTGTGGATGTGTGAGGAAGCTAGGGTCTTTCCAAGAAGGGAAACTTCCAGAAAAAGCACTCCTAGGTTAAGATGAAATCCAGGCTTTGCTCTCCAGTTATAGGTCTAGCCAGCTTCTCACCAAGAGCCCAGGGAAAAGCAAGTGAAGAGCAACCAGACAGGAACATTTCACCACTAAAAAATATTTTTATTACAAAACAGATGATAATAAAATCAGGCCTGGTCTCCAACCCTCCTTCTCAGCAGAAGCCCTTCAGATGGGGTGGGGAATACAGGATGGTGGGTGCTCAAAGAACAGTTTCAGGCTAGCCTCCTCTCACAGTGTCAACTGCTACTCTCCTTTATAAAGGGCTACAACAGCTCTTCCCAAGCTCCTTGGGCAAGACACCATTCTTCCGGTCAGACAAGGGCCACAGCTGGCGCTGGACCCCAGCAAAACCGAAATGCAGGATCCAGAAAGTCACAGCTGACTCTCAGTAGAGGCTACTCGTGGTCACTCAGCTTGGGCGATGGCATAGGAGAACAGCCACAGCAGCAGGGGTGTGAGGACAAGAACAGTGAGCCAGACTGCAAAGCTGAGCAGGATGAGCCTCCGGGCCCGGGCTGCCCAGAGCACTGCCTCCTCGAACCGGCCTGCTTTATGCCGCTCTTCTGCCTGTAGGGGCAGGTTCTTGGTTAGATTGTGCTTCTATTCCAAAGTGCCTGTGCCCCATTCTACTTCACCCCCTTCGTTCTTATCATACCTCTACAGCGCAAGCATAATCATTCTAGCTTGTCTTTATCCACAAAGATAACACATCTCAGCCCTGCCTACTCCAAAGACTACACATGGAAAAGCATTTTTAATCCTTATCCTTCTTTTCTATCTATTCAAGAGTCAGTCAGGATTTGGAATTCTTGGTTAACTGGTGAAGAGCATTTCACATATTCAACCAAACATCATTCCATTAGAATATCCCAATGGATCTGATCTCCTATCATTGTTGTTGTTATGCGCCGTCGCCGTCGAGTCGTTTGTGACTCATAGCGACCCTATGTACAACAGCCCTAAACCCTGCTCTATCCTGTGCCAATTACATTGCCTGACACACCCATCCCGATTACCCCAGTCAAAACCTCCTATCATTAAGGAGTCTTTTAATTATTTCCACCCTGAGAAAAACTCAGGAGAAATTCTTACAATTATGGTCAATCTATTCCTGTGTGATTTACTGCCTCTGAAAATACGCTGGATGCGCAGCTGAATCAGTTCTGACGCCACAATACATAACAGCAGCAACAAGATGCCGTAACAGAAAACCTAGCACAATGTTTAAGTTAGAAAAAGTACAAATGCAGTTTCCATTAGATCTCTGAAATGCTGCAGTCTCTTCAAGGATTGAGCATTTCTTATCTTTCAAGCTCGTGGAGCCTGCTGTCTTCCCTGTAGTTTGTAGTCCTGCATCTCTAATTTACCTTCCATGGAGGTCTGGAGAATGTATCTCCCAACACAAATCTGGGGATACTGTTCTCTATGAAAACCTTTCAATGAGTCATCCACACTTTTAAGATAAAACCAGAAATCCCAACACCAGATTTGGATGCCAAGAATCTGGATCCTCTGGCTTCATTTCTCACCACCACACCCCACGGTTCAGTCCCTTTCCTCTCCTGGAACGCGCTTTCACCCTAATTCACACGTCTTTCCCTTTTTTGTCACGTAGCCTACGCTGTCTTCCTTGGTATCTACCTACCCTACAGTATCATTAATTCACTCACTTATTCTCTGCTGTGGAGTAGGAATCAACTCACGGCCGGCCCTGCAGTAGGTGCCTGAGGCTGAAAATCGCTCAGGAGTAGACCACCAATCTTTCTGCCACAGAGAAGGGGGTGGATTTTAATCACCAGTGCATCGCCTTTGGAATGGCAGTGCAATTCCCCATGGACTATGCTACTAGAGATCCTACCACACCATATACACATATGCCCAGGGCCTCCCTGACTCCTAGGGCACCTGGGTTTTCCTCAGGGCCCTGGTAAGCAGCATTCTATTAATTTCTCATGAGACTAGAAGCCCTTTGATTCCAGGGACCTTGTCTTATCCCTATTTCTGGCACTCTGCCCAGGGATAAGCCCAACAGGTATAGTAACTGGTAAGTACAGCTAGATCACACATAGGATCCCGTTGCCTTACACCCATCAGGCTGCTTCCACTGGCATCAAATTGCTCACCTTGACGGCAAACACAAGAGCCATGACTCCTACACAAGAACAGCCACAGACAATGCTAGTAGCTGCCAAGCAGCGGAGGCGGAGCCAGCAGCAGTAGATGGGCGATGGAGAATGAGTAGTCTCTGGGGTGCTCACCAAGCCCTCCATTGCCTTCTCCTCGTCCTCCATCACCTGTGGACAATAGTCAAGGTACTTGTAAGTTCCACATGAGCCCTCGCCTGGCTTGTTCAGACTCCACCCCTCCTCACAGCCTTCTGCCCACACACTCCAGCCTAGCTCTCAGGAATGCTGCCTTACTGGGAATTTCTCTGGTGACTCATCCATCAGGAGAGGGAATGTGTTGCTGGAATCTTTTCCCCTCAAGATTCCTCAAAAGCTTTGAATACCAACCGGTAAGAAAGTACACTGTTACTTATTGATTAGCAGGCGAAAACGGTGACAAGTGCACACTGAGAAAAAAACACAGGATTTTGAATGCTGTTAAGAATCAGTGAATTTAAACTGTTTCAAAGGGCCTTCAGGGGTTCCCCAAGTCTTTGTATTAACGAAGGACCATAGGTCCCATACTCTTCAAGCACTGCAGTCCTTTCATGTAAAGATAGTTCAGAGGTGGTGTAAAGGAAAAAAAATGAACATTTATGTCTTTTAAAAAAACTTGAAGCACTAGATGCTCCACTGGAGGAGGGACAATCTCCTCCTGTGCCTGTCAGATTCTACTCAATAGTACACAAAGGGGAAAATATAATTGAGGGAACTGGATACTAATTAAGACCTGACTTTTTTAGTCAGGACCTTCTTTGCTTCTCTTCTCCCTTTTTAAACCAGCTCCCATTGCAATCAGACAAACATTCCCAGAGTCCTAAAGACCTCATTACCCATAGAAGCCTGTATGATGCTCTATGTAATCATTGCTCAGATCGTCCGAGCTCTGGCATCACACCACCTTCCTAGCTTCATCTACAACCACTCCCCTGCACCCCAGACAAAAATCATACCAGGTACAGTTCCCTGAACGCAGGTGAAAATAAGAGGATAGTGAGGTGCTGATAGAGCAGAAAATAAACAATGTGGGCCCAAAGCTGCAGGGGAACGGGTGTGAGGAACAAATCCAGATGAGGTAAGCTAAGAGTCCGCCAGTGGAGAGAACACAAGGAAGTATGCACTGCTGAGGGTCACAAGAAATGAAAAAGGAACAGGGGCTCTTACCTGGCTGCAGGCCTTGAGGGACTGAGTTTCAGCTCCGGGTTCAGGTGTGATTTGGCTTGGGTGGCGAGCTGACTCAAGACTTCCAAGCCAAACCCAGAGGTGGGGTTGGTGGCCACCCTACCACCTAAAGCACCCGAGAAGGAGGGGGTGTGGCCAACACAAACCAGTTTGACAGGATGACGAGAATAGGGGAGGGTCAAGAGATGGAGCAGCTTGAGAGAGGATGCCTACCTGTGGAAAAGGAGGCACCTGATCAAGGAGAAATGGAAAATTTTGAGGGCTCTAAACAAAGTCCAAGAACCAAAGTGATAGAAGGGAGGGGAAAGGAAGTTTAAGAATCTTGAGTGACTTAAAATCCAAATACTTAGGGAAAAGCACTCCACAAGATCAGACTTGCCAATTCTTCTTGGGGGGAGATTTTTGGCTCAAAGGTACACATCATCCAGGGTCAGAGATCAGGCAGTGGGGTCTTGATGAGAGCGAAAGAATGGTGCCCAAGTTCCCACCCCACCCTCCACCAGACCAGAAAATCAGAAGCCTCCTTACGCGGATGCTCGTACAGAAACTAAGTTTATTATTTTTTTTCTTCTTCTTCTTTTAAAAAAAAAAAAAAAAAAAAAAGAAAAAAACCCCAAAAAAAAAAAAAACCAAAAAAACCACCCAACCTTATTGTGGAGAAGCCCCAACCCCTTCCCTTAAGGGTGGTGGGCTGTGAAGACAGCTGGGAAATCAAGTACATGGGGGTGGAGTACAGACTATCGTGCCACCCCTAACACTGCCCAGCCATGTGGGGTGGAAGGAAAGGGGAGGGGGATTTAAAAAGCCACATTTCCATGACATCCCGCTGCCTACACCCCACTTTGGTGGAAAGAAGGGAGAAGGCCCTTGCTTCACGGGAGGCTTCCCACCATTCAAGACTTCAAGTAGTGGTTAAGTGTCAGGCCTGGCTGCGGGAGGAGGGGCAGCCCACTCACGTCTTGGCCTTTCGACCTCTGTGACTAATAATAGGGCCAGCCAAGTGGGGCGGGGCACTGCTGCGCAGGATGCGCTGGTCCCCTTGGTTGGTCCCACCAAGGCGTCGGGGGCCAGGCTTGCGGCGGGAGGTCCCATCCCCTTCGTCTTCCTCACCTGAGGCTTCAGCCTCAGATTCTTCTACAGAACCTTCAGGCCCCATGGGGCTTGGAGGTTGAGGTCGGCCCCGCTTTGTCTGCCCGGGACCCCCACCAATTGGAGCCCCTGCCCTTTTTCGAGGCATCTTCTCAGTCTCCAATGGGGGAACCAGAGACCCTGGACGCAGCCGGGTCGAGCGCAGTTTTGGGGCAGAGACCATGGGATTTGTCAATTCCAAACCACCTGCCCCACTTTCTGCGAAATCCAGGTCATCCTGAATTACAGCCACTACCATGGACCCTTCACTCTTTCGTCCCCGAATTCCCTCAGTTTCAAGTCGCAGGCGGGCCAGGCGGGTGAGTGGGCGGCCTCCATCCTCATCAGATGAACTGCCGTCACTGTCCCCCTGGCCCTGGGGTTGCTGCCGCCTTCCCAGTCCACAGCTCTCAGGGACAGATGAGCTGTCGTGGTCCAAGACAGGAAGCTGGCTAGGACGAGGTGATGGTGGATTCTTGGGGGGTCGGCCCCTCTTTCGCTTAGGTGGGGATGTAGAAACAGTGATGGTGGTGACAGTGTTGGCAACAGTAGCGGTGGGACAGGTTAAGAGTGCTGGGAAGGATGGCAGGGGTGGTGAGACTGCAAGTGGCTGTGTCCTAGTCTCTACGTTACTGTCCCCTGGAGAAGAGGTGGTCCCAGGGACGGGCAGATCTCGGGCCTTTGGAGGCCGCCCTCGCCGTCGCTTCTCCACAGGCGACAAGACAATGGGCTCAGGTTTGTGAACTGACTGGGGTCTGGGTGGGGGTGGCCCAAGAACCACCTGGGGCCCTACAACAGGTTCCGCGACAATGAGGGTCTCTGCCCCAGATACTAGGTCAGCCCCATTGGCTTTTCCCTTAGAGGGTGCCTCATTCACTCTTTGCCCAGCATCTGCAGGAGATCTATTTTTTTTGGGGGGTCTTCCTCTCCGGCGCTTCACTGCTGGTGGGGTGATGGCAAGCAGTGCCCCATCTCCATTCTCTGGGCTGCCACCACCAGTCACCCCCAGCTCAATGCGACGACGTGCGATGAAGGGCTGTTGGGTCTGAGTGGGCAGTGCAGATGGGGGAAGAGCTTCAAAGGGCCCACTGGTGGGAGGGGACGGGTCCTGCCCTGGCGGGCTCTGGGTAGATGGGCTTCCCGGGCCCGTACTTGTCTCACAGACCCCAGATGCTGGGGTGCTGGCAGTTCCTCGCTGCTGTCGCCTTCGTCTCACCAGCTCCTTCTCCTCTACCACAGTCACTAGCCGCCCTGGCAGCTTGCGAAGCACTTTGGGGCCTGGAGGCTGCCCTGGCCGGCCAGCCCCTTGACCTCGAATTTCTACATCAGCACTGGTGCGGCGTCGGGGGGGGCGGGCAGGTGAAGGACTCTCAGGTGAGGAGGAGACTGAAGATGAGGTTGAGGGAGCTACGACTTCTGCTGGAACAAGCTCCTGCTGCTTCTCTGGGCTGGAGACTGGGGTCTGGGCCCCTACCAGCTCTTCAGCGTTCCTGTCAGCCTCCACTGGCTTCTGAAGCGGCTCATAAGATGCTGCTGGAAGCGGGAGGTCCACTCCGTTGCTCTCATTCAGACACATGGGCACCTCGCCATCAGGTACCACTGAGAGAACTGTTCCCTGGGAAGGTACTGGTATGGCCTGTTCTTGACCATTGGGGATGCTGCCAGCCTCCAGGGTTGGACTAGAAGCAGGAGAAGTAAGACAAACATTCTTCTCTGACAAGGGCTGAACCTCAACAGCAACTGGCAAGAGATCCGTGGGGGACACCAACGTGAGCAAAGAAGTCTCAGAACCGGATGTGCCAGCGAGCTCCAGGGACTTGGGAGATGCCAACGCTTGTACACACGGCTCTGCTTCAGGCTCCGAGCCCGAGGGGAGGTTGATGTCTGGAGAGGTAAGAGGCACAGAAGACGGACCAAGCAGAAGAGGGGAGGAAGGAGGCAGGAGAGGGGTAGGGGCTGGTGGAGGAGTATGAGATGCTGGGGGTGTATGTGCTGGTGGGGGGGTAGAGACAGGAGTGGGAGGACTGTGGATAGGAGAACAAGAGGGAGGAATCTGAAGGGGGAGAGAAGGAAGGGGAGGGGGAGGGGGAGGAGGCGGTGGTGGTGAGACATGGACAGGAAGAAGGGTTACTGGACTCGGGGATGAAATGGGTATTGGAGTTGGGATCGAGACAGGGGTTGGGGAATCAGGAGCTGGCATGGGTCGAGGTCGGGCCACTCGCTCCCTGACAGGACTACAGTGGGGCGGTGTAGACACACTTCGGTTATGTTGGGTGGGTGTGGTAGGAGTGTGGTTTGCCCCTTGATTCTCAGCCCGGGCTCCACGAAGACGCTCACTGACACGAGTCCCTGGCCTCTCAGGAGCCTTGACCTTCTTACTGCGCCGGTGGCTGCCTCCACCTGTCCCACAAGAAACCTCATCCCCAGTCCCTGGTCCCTCCTCCTCTTGGGGTAGACGGAACACCTCTTCCTTGGCTTGGTCCAGGTCCTTGCGGGCTGCTTCCACTTGCTCCTGCCAAAAGAACCCAAGGGGTGGTCAAAGGGAGACAAACAGGGTGGAACGGGTAGAAATCAGCAACTCCACCCTTTCACATACTCACTTCTGCCTGCTTGAGCTCTTCTCGGCTCACCTCCTCCAAAGAGGCCTCCAGGAATTTCATGGCGTAACGCTCAATGGGTGTCAGCTGCAGGGAGGAGAAGTAAGGGACATGTGAGGCACCAAGGGACCACTATCTTCATGTGTTAAAACCAGGCAAAATAGGCGATCACAGAATGCAAGAGTGGACGCTGTGAAGGGTAAGGTCGAGAACTTGCAGGTTCAGTACAGACCTGTTCCACAAGGGCAGCAATTTCCTGCTCAGCCCGAGACATCTCCTCATCTTCAGCCCCGGGCCGACTCGTTTCTTCCCCCTCACCAGCCGGAAAGCCATCGTTCTCATTGAATTCTGCCAGTTCAGCCACCTGTTCAGCCTTGGCCTGAGTTGCCGCACGAATATCCTCTTCATCTTCTGCCTTACACAAAGCCTGCAAGGGTTCAGGGGAGGAAGAACCATCACACCTACCTTAAACGACCTCACATTCCAAGGTACGGTGCAACAGCAGTCTGAGGTTAAATTTACACCAAACTAGGTTTGTAACAGAACCTCTCAATTCTATGGGACCCAGGATTCCCAAAGGAACTCAGGTTCATGTTAAGGATGGAATGGATTTCATAAGGTCTCTAAATAGGGATCTGACTATTCCAGCTCTATGCCTTTTCCTCTGAGTCAGTTTTCAAGCTCTGAGAAAACCAATCACAGAAAATACCAAAAAAGCCTAAAATCCCTTTTTAACTGACATACCTCCTAATGAGTCTCTTCAACAAACTAACCACGTAAAATCTTTCCCTTGAGATGAAAGACCAGAATTTACACTAGTCACACCAAGGGAGTAGTTTAGAACATACTTAGCCACAAAGGAAAAAAGCATCTATGGATGTGGGAAGCCCAGGGGGAAAAAAAACCACCAAAAAAAACCCTAATCCTCACTCCAGAAAACCAAGATTTGCTAGACTGAGAGGGACCCCAGGAAACAGTATTTTAAAATGTTATCTAAATGATTCCATTATGCATCAATGTCTGGAAAAGAGCGTATTACAGTATCCATGAAGCACTTCTCACATGTCATACCATTAAGTTCTCAGAGTTACTTCCTTCTTATTAGCATTTCAATTATGTGGAAAATAAAGCTCAAGAGAAATACAGACTTAGTTAGCAGAAACCATTTTTAAGACTGGAATTTAAAAACTTAGAACGCTAGATCCTGTCTTCTATCAAATCCTGTAGATCAATGAGCTGTCAAAGGCCTACCATCCTTGGGGTTGGGGAGAGACTGAGTAAGATGGGTTCAATAATGTATACTGCACTGAAACAGAGGAGGGAGAGAACCGTCTAAAAGAGAGATGTAACTGGGTATTTCTGTCATCACAGGAGACTAGAGCGAGGGCTACATGGTGGAGGGGACCTGGGGGAGGGTTTGTAAAACAAAGAAAGAATCTTTTCTTTTACTTTTCCATAACTTTTGGACTCATGTACTTATAACTTGTTAGTCAAATTTGTGTCTTCTAGGTTGCAACACCCCCATGATACATCTTCAAGGATATGTACATGTACAGCCAAGCACAATCAATAAGAGTGCATCTGAATTCCAAAATCAATCTCCATAATAGTCTATGTGTTTCCTACTGCCAAAGGGGCCCTTTAGAGTAGTGAGAGAAGATCTCCACCCTGAAACCCACAGCGTCCCTTTTCAGCAGGAAGTAGCTAAGAGAATACACCGTGCCCTTTTCCTTATGACTCAGGGTGAAGTCTCTCTCAGGGAGGAGTGATAGGGAATGGCAAAGGATACACTGACAAAGGAGATTAATCAGAACTGGCTTTGACAAGCACTGTGGCATTTGGACAAGAACAAACTGGGAGGAGGGTAGAGAGAATAGTGCAACAATGAATGAGTGGAAGCCCAAAATCTCTGTAAATGTTTATGAAAATTAATAAAATATAATTATAGAGAAAAAAAAAAGAAAAAAAAAAAAAAAGGCCTACCATAACCCGCTAGTGAGCATACACAATTCTTTCCCCCCGCCCCTTGACAAGTTCAATAGATTAACGAGAGACAAGATGCCCGTCAACATTAATTCTGCTTTGGGGTACTGCCCACTCTTTTTTCACCTGCTCCAGAATATGGGTCTGTTTGCTAGCCACAGCCTCTTCTTCCTCTTCAGGCGCAGAGGGTACAGATGAGTTAGATGGCTCCTCCAGGGGCATCTCAAACAGCTCTCGAATGGTCTGCTGTTGAAAGGAGAGAGGAAAAGTGTTAGAGCCGCTGTTCAATGTTCCCAGTTTTAGAGACACTGGGCAGTGGCTCTTCAAAGTTATCAGAGGCTCTGTTAGTCGAAGAGGGTGGTCTGTGAAGACCACCAGGCAGCTCTTTTTTTTTAAAATTAATTTTAACGAACTTTTACAGAGACTTTGATTTCCATTCATTCATTACTCCATTTTTCTCCCTGCCCCCTCGCAAATTCGCTTTTCTCTTTGTAAAGTATAATTCTGTTCTACAATCCCTCCGCCCTAACCGCACTCCACTATGCAATCTTCATTCTGGACTCCTGTCATGACAGTAATACTTAATCATGTTGTTGTTGTTGTTATGTGCCGTCGAGTCACCTGCGACTCATAGCGACCCTATGTACAACTTAATCATATATCGCTTTTAAATAGTTCTCTCCCTCATCTATTTCAATGCAGTATACATATTTGTCCTCTCTTTCTCAGTCTCCCCTCCATCCTGATGTCAGTCCTGTTTTATAACAGTGGCACTATGCAGTATCTGTCCCTTTGTGACTGAGATTTCACTCAGCCAAATGTCCTCCAGAGTCACCCATTTTGAATACTATTTCATGAGTTCCTTGTTTATTAATGCAGCATAGTATTCCACTGTGTGAATATACCATAGCTTCTCTATCCATTCGTTTGCTGATGGGCACTTAGGTTGTTTCCAACTCTTTGCTATTGTGAACAGAGCCGCAATGAACATGGGTGTGCTTCAGGCAGCTCCTCTTAATGTGAAGGAACATCTACATGCTCTAGCAGTTCTGTTTTGTACGCGCTGAATGCTGTGTACAATCGAGCTGGAACTGACTCACACCTGAACCTCCAGTAAGTTTCAGAAGCCAATAAATCGCAAAGGAGACTGTTCATCTTTCTCCGGTGGAGCAAATGATGGCTTTGAAGAACATGCTTATAGGTTGTCATTGCAACTTCTTACCACTAAACCTCCAGGACTCCTGTATAGGCTAAAATTTTTAGTATATATCAAAATCAAATTCATTGCCCTCAAGTGGATTCTGACTCACAACAACTATGTAATAAGACAGACAGAACAACCCTATACACTAACCCTACAGGAAGGATGTCTCTGATTGTAATTTTTTTTTTTTGGTATAAACAGTAAGATTTATTGAGCTGTATCTTAGTACAGACGCTGGGGCTTGCCCATGGTGCTTTTGATATACAAAGCCCGAACATTCTGCCAATTCTTCTTTAGCAATGAAACCAGAAAGTTGACAGCCAGGTGGATGTTGTAAACAAGTTCATCATCTGTCATCTTCACATGGCCAACAGCCACTGCCAGACACAGGACCTTTTTCATCTGGAATTTGATGGTGGATTTCACCTCGTCTACTTTTGCCACCATGTTCTCATTGTGGGTCAGCAGAAGGGAACTTGCCAGCCTTATTCAGCCCTGGAACTAGGATTCTTGGGATCTGCTTGATCAGGGATTCAGAGGCCAAAAAGGCATCATACTTCTTGGCCAGCTTTTTGACCAGTTTCTTATTCTTGTTGAGTTTTTTCAGCGCTTCGATGTTCATGTGGGGGATCCCCACAGTGCTGCTGATCCCCAAGAACACACACAGAGAACTTGGGGCGTGGGGTGTATGTACTTAAGCCTGACGGTCCCAGAGAAACGCTTGTCCTTTTGAGGGGCATAGATCTTCAAACTGATCTGCAGCTCCACAGTCTCCAAAAACTTTCTGCGTTTGCACTGGTTCCCGTGCAGGACTTCCCGCACCGCCTCGTAGAGGGTGTCGCGAGAGACTTTGCTGCTCATGGTTGCTAGATCCGCAGTAACCGGAAAAGAGAGCTCTGATTGTAATCTTATGAAAAAGACTATCCATCTTTCTCCTACAGAGTAGCTGGTGGGTTCAAATCACTGACTTTCTGCTTAGCAGTTAAATGATTAATTACTGAGCCACAATCTTTTAAATGTAAAAGCTCTAATCTAAGTACCTGTTTAAAATAAGCTGTGGTGAAGTTGCCACCCTCAATGGCCATATCTCCCAACATTCTCTTCTGATTTGCCTTTTTAAGGATGTTCTCCTCCACTGTCCGTTCACTGATTAGCCTAGGGAGTGACAAAGGTTATTTTTAAACAGTCAAATACATTCATAAAACCCCTTCGGGCAAATGGGAAGGCAAAGTGAAAGGGAGAACAGGTAATACCTATAAATATGCACATCTCGGGTTTGGCCAATTCGATGACAGCGATCCTGGGCCTGGGCATCCATGGTGGGATTCCAGTCACTGTCATAAAAGACAACAGTGTCTGCTCCTGTCAGGTTCACACCCACACCACCACTCCGAGTCGAAAGGATGAAGCAGAATATGCGTTTATCTGCATTGAACCGTTCCATCAGAGCCTAAAGGGAAAGGAAAAGAAAGGTTCTGTGAGGCCGATCCTCAAGACGTCTAAGACCCAGGCTTTACTGGCCGCTTCCGGGATCTTAAGGTCTAAGAGAAAAAGACAGAAGTTGGGGTGAGCAATCCAAGAGTTGCACATGTCTGGGTTACCTGTCTCTGCTCAACTCTAGTAGACCCATCTAGACGTAAGTAGAGGTGGCCATGGTAGGTGAGGAATTGTTCCAACACATCCAACATTCGGGTCATCTGAGTGAAAATGAGCACCCGGTGGCCCTCTGCCTTGAGCTGCCTCAGCAGCACTGCCAACGTTTGCAACTTTCCTGAAGAGACATGAAGTGGTACAGGAAGCTAGGAACATGGATACCAGCTAATCAAGGCACAGTGTCTGCCAGTCTAGAAGGTCAGAAACAGTTAACTATTTTTCACTTTGTTTGTGGCTGGGACAAAATTAACCTTGAGTCTAACTAGAGGTAGTATAATACAAATACTTGCAGGGGGTGGGGGTGGGGTAAAAAAAACCCACCTCTCTACCTATACTTATGAATAAATGGTATGTGTCACCGACTGTGGCCACAGCTGATAGACAAGGACTTAATACCACAGATTTGAGTCATGTAAGATCTGAAAAGGTTCTTGAGCTCAAATATACCATAAAATACTTCTAGAATATTTATGACCAACTGAATATTTTTAACAAAACACTTCTAATACCTTACCAGGCAGTTATTCACCTACTCTGAATAGTTTTCAGTATCATATGTTTTTAAAAATTAAAACATTAATCATATCATTGATACAAACTTCCCTATGTTCCAAGAGACTTGGAAAAAATCTCTGAACATGCTACTGTAACAATGTCTGGGCCCCACATATTCATTACTCGCCAAAAGCCATCCTTGGTTAACAGAACTCCACTTTATAGGGAATGGCAGGACCCCGTGATTACAGGAAGGCAGGGGCCAGACGAATCCTGACTGCTTCAAAAAGTCTCAGTGCCTCTCTGCCACTGACCACCCTGCCAGGGACTGAGCCATGCCAGTAAACTACACAGCTTTTCCTTCCCAGGAAAAAAAAAGATATCTGCTAGGATTTCAGGAACTGTTACCTCAACAACCTCTTGGTTCCTGCTCAGAGCACTGGTATGCTCCCTGGTGCTACAGCAGTCATTTTGGGAGTATTAAAAAACCACCACCACCACCAAACAAAAAATCCACAAAACACACATCAGGATGAAAAAATAAAAACTAATAATAAAAACAGGCAGAATAGAAAAAAAAAGGCCTGCAGTATTGTGAAGATATCATTAAGATGCTGAACCAGCCCCCAAAGCTTTCTCAGAATTTCTCATAACAATAAATGTTCTTACAGTTTAAGTTAATGTTTAAAAAACAACAATAATATATGGAAAAACAAACTTGCAGCCACATGCTCAAAGTTTTGGTATTCACCCAAATAGAAATTTTCTCTTTATATGTTTATACCACTATGTATCTTTTCCTAAAAATCTTAAAAAAAAACAACCCTGCTGTCTTGTTCACCCCTGTACTGCAGATGGTGAACAAAAGAAAAAGCTTATACAACGCTGAAACTCATGAATGGCATATTAAGACTGACGCGCCATCTTACAAGTAAATAGAAACAAAAAAAATCATCAAACATTTTACTGAAATCCTGAAACCTTCTACTAGTATCAGTTTGACTCCTGGCTAACTCACCACAATCATACTGGATGAGCCTTAAGTCAGGGAACTGGGTGCGCATGTTACACACAATCCGATGTAAAGGACGTGCCCGGGGCCAGAGTTCACAGGCTAACTGCTCTTGGAAGGCTGCCTGACGGGGGGCCAGCCAAGGAGGTGGGTGGCAGGCATGTAGTGAAGGGGGAGGCGCCTCCACAGGAGGCATGACAAAGATGAACCTGTGGAAAGAAGACAGCATGTGGTCTAAGAGACAGAACTCTGAAAGGGCCCCAAAGCTAACACTTTCACCAAACCTAATCACTATATCCACTGTTAGAGCCCCAAGACCCACTGTCCATTAACACTCAGCCCTGCCAACCTCTCAATGATTTCTGACAGCTGGTCTAGTCGTTGCTGGGGAAAGAGTACAGCCCTGCGGGCAGCCTCGGTAAAAGTCCAAAAGCTGGGGTGGTTGGGACCAGGAGCATGAGGGCCGATGGGGCTGGCAACAGGTTGGGGCAAGGTACAGAAATCCAGGACTTCAGTCCCATACACAGGTGCCAGGGCCCCATGAGCCTCGCTCAATTGGAAAATCCGCTCCAAACGTTCAGATCGCTGACTCTTCCGCTTTTCCTCCAAAGAATCCTAGGGAAGAGAGGGAAAGACACACAGAGAGTAATCAGGGCCTTTATCTAAGCCAGACAAAACTGCGATCTTTCTCTCAAGAGTGGGGGGGAAATGATAATCTATGGAAACAATAAAATGAAAAATTAAAGTCTATTTTTTAAAGTTTTTCAAGCTGTCAGTAATATTATTCCTTTTACAATGTTAAAATTAAATCTGAACATTTAACAGGTTTATAAAATGATCTCCAGAAATTTTCCTACACAATCCCTAGGTCCAAAACACCCGAAGGATGTTTTGTTCAGGTGAGCCTGAAACAATTATTAGAAGCCTTTCCAAACAACAACCAGCAGGACTGACTTATCAAATTATATATGGTTTCTGTCCAGGCCCCAAGAGATGACAGGGCGATGCGCCGAGACCCCCAGGAGACCTATGCAACTTGGCCTGCATCTCCTCCCACCTCTGTGCTTTCCATTTCACAATCTGTAAAAAACTATCTTACCCCTCTTCGTAGCACTTATCACACTTGTAGTTTATTAGTGTGAATATTTGAGTAATATCTTCTTCCACTGGACTGTAACCTCCATATTATCTGAACCATAAGTGTTTTGCTCATTATAATAATCTCACACTGAGGGAAGCCGAATACAAAATTTACTAATAGTAGACCAAATGCTGTATCGGGAAATGAGGGAAGCTTAATACAAGCTGAAGGTCACCTTGTGACACTGGGGCATTCCTTAGGAGTCAACATTGTTCTTAGTTTGTATCAAATGAATCCCTCCCTCTTGAGATTAACATAAAGAGGAACTTGGCCTTATCTGTAAAAGATTTCACCATTATCCTTTGTTTTGTACTTCCTAGTGATTTTACTTTTATTATCTTATGATTCTAAATAAATACTCAAGAGAAGCATGGCTTGAGGTCTTCAGTCGAGAACTGCTGACCCCCTGTGTTTTAAGCTCTCTGCTCTATCTCATTCCTGGTGTTTGTCTCTTTATTAATAATTATAAAATTATTCTATTCTTTGGGACCCTCGGTCTGCAACATCACACATCTAATTTAGTGTTTGATATGGAAAAGATTCTCAAGTAGTAGTAACAGAATGTATTAACAATGAAGGAAACTGAATCTAGTAGAGGGTCTAAAAAAGGAGTGCCCCAAATTTCTTCCTTTCTGACTGCGACCTTAAGCTGGATTTCCTGGCTTTGAGTACTCCATGTAAGGAAGAAGTATGCTAGCAGAGGAGTTTTAAAAGTGTTGTGAGAAGAAAGGCCGGCTGCAACACTTCTATGATACATCTTCAAGGATATGAACATGTACGGCTAAGCACAATTGATAACAGTGCATCTAAATTCCAAAATCAATCTCCATAATAGTCTATGTGTTTCCTGATGCCAAAGGGGCCCTTTAGAATAGTGAGAGAAGACCTTCACCCTGAAACCCACAGCGTCCCTTTTCAGCAGGAAGTAGCTAAGAGAATACGCCATCCCCTTTCCCTTATGAATCAGGGTGAAGTGTCTCTCAGGGAGGAGTGATAGGGAATGGCAAGGGACACACTGACAAAGGCGATTAATCAGAACTGGCTTTGACAAGCACTGTGGCAATTGGACAATTAAAACAGACATGGGGGGGGGGGAAGAAGAACGAACTGGGGAGGAGGGTGGAGAAAACAGTGCAACAATGAATGAATGAAAACCCAAAATCTCTGTAAATGTTAATTAAAACTAATAAAATTTAATAAAAAAAAGTGTTGTGAGGGTAAAAAAAAAAGAATAAAATTGCATGTTGCCTAGGTTTGTTTTAAAATATCTCAGCAAAGAACAAAAAAAGCTAAATCAAACAAATTAACTACAAAATTTTATTTTCCTGATAGGCAGATGGTATTTACTGTATGAGACTCCCTTTGTTGGTGCTTGAAATGTTTGTGTAATAAAACATCTTTTCCAAGGGGAAAAAAAAGTGTGAGAACATTGTCAATATTTTATTTGGAAAGGGATGTGAATTTAGGATACTCGTAATTCAATAATAAAAAGACAATCCAATTAAAAACTGGACAAAAGATCAGAATAGACACTTCTCCAAAGACACACAAATGGCCAAACCCAGGAAAATAATGTTCAATTCAGTATTTCTGGCCTTAAGAGAAAAGTAAACTGTAAGATACCCCACTTCACACCCATGTGGATGGCAAGGAGGAACTTTGGTGGTACAGTACCTTAAGAAGACAGGTTGTTAAACAAAGGGTCATTAGTTTGAATCCACTAGTATCTCTGAGAGAGAAAGATAAGGAATCTCAAGATTAACAGCCTTGGGAGCCCTGGAGAGGGTAACAGTGAGTCAAAACTGACTTAATAACATTGTGGTTCCCCCCCAACACCCTTTTTTAATGGATATAAACCAAGAGCCATTAAAAAACAAACAAAAAACCAAAAGAAACACAATGTCAACAAGTCAATTTTGAGTTTTAATGGGTATAAACCAATAGCGGAAGCAGGAGTGGCATCCACTGCCTCAACAACATGCCTCCAGAATCTATTCACTTTGATACATGTCGATAGTTGTAGAGGGGCTTCAGGCCTTTTGTTCATAGGGTCACTGAGTTGTGCTTGACTCAAAGGCAATCAACAACAACAAATCAATAACAAGCCAACAAGTCAGCTCCAAGGATGGCAACTCTTGTGAGGGTGGAAATCCTCACTGGAGAAGAACATGCATTTTTATCCTAGAAAGTGGCAGGCAGATTTGGACTAAGTACTTGGTTAACAGTCTAACATGTTACAAACTATGTCACCAGGGCTTCAGAAATTTTACTGCTAAATCTACCTCAAGAGAAACGGAAAACACATGTGCAGGCAAAAGCTTATTTCTGACTGTTCAAAGGACTAATAACTAAAAGAGGGGAAACACCATCGAAGTTCATATTAGCTGATAAATGGATTTATCATTTATTTATGGAAAAAAGCTAAAACAGAAAGTGGATCTCCAAAACACTGTTGCTGTTAACTGCCATTAAGCTGACCTTCGTCAGTAACACATTTATTTTAAGAAAGGTATCAGTTATAAAAGGCCATATAATGGAGGACATCTGGAATAGGCAAGCCTATGCTCTGCTCTTCAACCTATATGCAGAACAGATTATCCAGGAGGCTGGGCTCTATGAGGAGAAATGTGGAGTTCAAGATTGGTGGACGATTTATCAACAACCTGCGTTATGCGGATGACACAACCCTGCTTGCTGAAACTGCAGAGGACCTGAAGTGTCTGCTGCAGAGTGTCAAGGACTGCAGCCTACAATATGGATTGAGGCTCAATGTCAAGAAGACAAAGATTCTCAACACTGGACCAATTGGCAGCATCAGGATGGATGGTGAAGAGATTGAGATTGTACACAGCTTTAGTTTGCTTGGCTCCACAGTCAACAGTCTTGGCACCAGCAGCCAGGAAATTAAAAGGCGCATTGCCATGGGAAAGTCTGCTGTTAGGGACCTCTTTCCAAAGTGCTGAAGAGCAATGGTGTCTTTCTGGATACTAAGGTGCATCTGATACAGGCCATGGTCTTCCCAATCACTTGTTATGCATCAGAGAGTTGGACAATGACCAAGGAGGATAGAAGGAGAATTGATGACTTTGAGCTGTGGTGCTGGAGAAGAGTATTGAGAATACCATGGACTGCTAGGAAAACAAACAGATTTGACCTGGAAAGGGTTAAACCAGGTGGCTCCTTGGAGGCAAGGATTCTGAGGCTCCGTCTAACTCTGGACATGTTGTGAGGAGAGACCGGTCCTTAGAGAGGGACATCATGCTTGGTAGGGTGGAGGGACAGCGCAGGAGAGGAAGGCCCTCTATGAGGATTCAGTGACTGGAATAATTGGGATGGGAGTGTCAGAGACAGTGCGATTGGCACAGGACAGAGCGGAGTTTAGGGCTCTTGTACACAGGGTCGCTATGAGTCGCAAGCGACTCAACGGCACATAACAACAACAACATGCTCTGCTGGCACAGTGCTGCTAACCTAAAGGTGGCCAGTTCAAATTCCCTTTAAGAGAAAGATGAGCAACCTCCTTCTGTACAAATGACAGTCTCTGGAAATCTGCTAGAGTGTTGACTGTGAGCTGGTTTCAGCTTGATAGCAAATACTTGAGCTGATACAGAAAGGAAGGCTGAAAATTAAAAAATGGAAAGGTAGGCGAGCTCCGGTGGCCTAGTGGCAAGAAGCTGCACTGCAATCCCAGAGGTCTGCGGTTCAAATCCACCAGATGCTCTGCTGGAGAAGGAAGAACAAAATCCTGTACCAGTCAGATCTGATTTGATGGTACACACAAAAAATGATAAAAAAAAGAAAGGTGAAAAGTAATAATGACAAGAATCTGCCACTTAGCTGTAGATTAGCTGTTTTCCAGCCCTGGTTAGGATCAAGGCTGACTATTCGCTGCTCTCAATAAATGAAGACCAGCCTGGTGGTGCTGATGGTTGTGTGGAACTGAACAACAGCTGACCCTTGGCAAGTTGTCAGATGGAGTAAACCTCATGGGAGAGGATTCCATGTTTCTCCCCGGGAGGAGCAGGTGGTATCATTAGGGCAAAACAGGAGATGGTAGTAGCCAGAGGGACCATGACGGAGTGGTGCAACAGGATTCAGGGGTTAACTGAATGGCTAGAGAAAACAACTTCTTAACATGCTGAGAACAGGCTGAGAGACAAAAAAGCCTAACTGGACCTTTTCTTAGTAGTTCTGGGATTATCTATTCCCATCTAAACTGCATATTCTACTTAACTGTGTGTGGAACAAAACATAGGGAGAAAAGGATTGTTAGAAGCTCCACAAGGTATAGGAAACAGAGTTCCTTACTCCGCCCACTTATCACCAGAGGTAAAAATTTAGAAGAGATAACTTATCAAAGCCACAGGCTTTGGTTAAGCATTCAGCAGCTAACCCAAAAGTTGGTGGTCTGAACTCATCAGCTGCATCACGGGAGAGAAATGTGGTAATCGGCTTCCACATACATTACAGTGTATTCTGTCCCAGTGGGTCCACTACAAGTTGGAACAGACTAGATGGCAACAAGATTTTTTTTTCTTTTCTCCACGTGTCATCCTTTTCCTGACAGGAATACTCAATTGTGGGAATACAACTGTAAAGTATTCTTACTGAAGAACTTCATCTTGTGGGACACAGCAAAAAACCCAAAAAGCAGAGGGGGGGAAAAAAAGCAAAAACTGTTTTTACTAATGGTAACATTGAGGGCAAGGCCCTCTAAGAGATGGATTGATTCGGTGACTGGGGTAACTGGGATGGGTGTGCTGGAGACAGTGTGATTGGCACAGGACAGAACAGAGTTTAGAGCTATTGTACATAGGGCTGCTATGAGTCGCAAGAGACTTGACGGTACATAACAACAACGTTGATGATCATTTAGTGGGGAAATAAATGTCAGTGTTAATACCAAGACAGTGAAGCAAGAACAAATAAGTACCTGGTAACAAGTCTTGTGATTAGTAATTTGGAAAGAACATCAAGACCTGAATTACCCCAAAAAGGTAGAATATGGGAAGTGACTAGTCCTCTGTCATTGAAATACCCACTTCTCAAAAGCAGCCTTTGAAATTTACCAAAACAAAAATGACATTACATTGTTCCATTCACTCCATCCTACCCATCCCCCAACAAATTCAAACTCCTGCGTTGTGGGGGAGTTGAACTTACCAGATAGAAAGGGGAACGAGGTGGTGGTGGGGGCTGGCGTCGAGGCCGAGGGCCACTGAACGAGGTAGCAGTGGAGGGAGGACTGGGGGGGCCAGATCGCAATGTCAGTGTCTCAGGCTCATCCTTGAGAACAGGTAGCCGGGATACCACGGTGACAGGCAAGGGAGCAGAGCCAGATGCAGAAACCGCAAGGGAAGAGGGCTGGGAAGCTGGTGCCTGTCCTGAGGCTGCAGCTGGGCCCAGGGTGGGCACCGGAACCGGAGTAGGACTCAAGGTCAGTGTTTGTACTGAAGGTAGGCTCAGGAGTGAAGTAGATGATGCTGCTGGAGCCAAAGTCAGGGTATGAGCAGGGGATGGACCCATTGGAGAAGCAGGAGCCACAGGAGGTGCTGGGGTCAGAGACAGTGTCTGAGTGGGACCCAGTGGTGGCCCTGGTGCCAAAGAGTGTGTCTGAGCTGGAACCGGTACAAGGGATGCTGCTGGAGTCAATGATAACGTCTGAGCTGGAAAAGGCCCCTGTGGATTTCCTGTTCCCAAAGACAGTGTCTGAGATGGAGATGAGCCACCAAGGGGGGATGTTAAAGCTGGAGCTAGAGCCAGTGTCTGTGTAGAAGCCAGGCTCGGGAGAGGTGAAGGAACTGGGGCTGAGATCAGAGTCTGAGTTGATGACGGAGCCAACACAGGAGCTGGGGCTGGCACTAGTGAAGCTGAGGCTAGAGGGGTTCCTGGAGTAGAAGATGGTGCCAAAACTGGAAGTGGAGTCTGTGACGGAGCCAGGACTGGAAGAGGAGCCAGAGGAGGAGTTGGAGAAGAAGCCAGGATTGCCGTCTGCGGAGCCGCCATAGGAGCCAGAGAGGTGGGCAGAGCCTGAGATGTGGACGGTGCTGGAGCCAGAAGGGAAGCCTGAGCTGACGCTGGGTTTGGTGCTGCTGGAAAAGGACTGGCCAGAGCTGAAGCCGGCACCAGGACAGGTGAGCATGCCGGGGCGACAGCTGAATTCAACCCTGGAACATGTGAAGAGGTGGGAGCTAACAACAGAGGGTGACCAGGTGCCTGAGATGAGGACAGGGATGGAGTTGTGGCCAAACCAAGAGTCAAGGCTGATGCTGATGGGGAAGCCCCAGTTGGCACCAAAGAGGGAGGTCCAGGAACTGCTGAGACAACTGGAGCTAGTGCCGGAGTCACAGTGGTCAAGAGAGCCGAGCCCGGAGCCGAAATAGGTAAGGGGGCCGAGATGGGAATGGTGAGCGGAGCAGAGACAGGGGCAGGAAGTGTAGTAGACACAGAGATGGGGAGTGAAGATGAGACTGGGACCGTGGTGGATACAGGAGTACCAAGGGGAGAGGAGTTGGGAACGAGAACTGGAGAAGAAGCTGGGCCAGGGACTGAGGATGGCAGAGAGAGAGGAGAAGAGATGGTCAAAGGAGCAGCTCCGGGTGCAGAAACTGTGGAGAAAAGTGAAGAATTAGACCATGTCTCTTTCTACTACCCTGTCCCACACTTTCGTCTACCCACAAAAGCTCCAGCTGTTTCCCAAACCACCTTCACTCCAACCCAAAGGAGTTAAAACTAAACAGAATCTGCAAACTGGAACATTTCCCCTCCCTCCAAAGTTCTAATGGGACCCAGGCTGGTCAGTCCTGGGGACCAATGCATGTAAAAATCGTATGTTAGTAAAGAAAAGATCTGATAAGATTGACAAACACTCAGAGCCACCCCCACCTCCGTTCCTGACAAGAAATCTATGGCCTGAGCCACTGGACTCACCATTGACTTCGGGTGAAGGACTCTGGACCAATTTGAGGAGAGGCCTCACCAAAGTAGATGTAGGTATGGGAGACCGGGAAGGAGCCAGAGTAGGCGTAGGCAGCCGGCCAGGGGGTAACGTGGGGCGTGGTGTCAATACAGCTGGAAGTCCAGAGCTGGGAGGCCGGGGTGCTGGGGCTAACGGAGGAACAGGAGTCAGTCCATCCCGAGGAGCTTGTCTCACTACAATCTTCACCACGCCTGTATTATTCACCATGGTTGGTGGCACTGTAAGAGGAAGCTACATTGAGAGGAAGGTAGAAAACAAACAAAGAAACCCAAAAGATGGAAGAAGTCCAGGGCAAGGGAGGTTGGCAGACAGACAACAGTGGAATCAGAGGGAAGCAACACTGAAGGCGGCTGGACAGACAGTAGCCCAGGAAATGCCTGAGGTTGGACCAAGGCCAGCAAGGGGCTAAGTAGGAAGGCCAAGAGCCTCACCCTGGTTAGCAGCAAGCGGAAGGCTGAGACCAGTGGGGGCAGGGGTGGTGCTGGGGGTCGAAGAAGGCAGCACAGAGACAGGGGAAGGACCAGGGGTCGGGGCCACGGCCTGGATGAGGGCCACATGGGCAGGCTGGCTGATGAGGTGGTGCTGGCCCCCTGCTGACACCAGGTGCACCACATTCCCTGAGTTAAGGGGAAAGAGAAAGAGAGAGAAAAAGCAGCTATCAGCAGGGGGAGGGAGAGACAAAGGCAAGAGGAAACGGAATAAACAGAAAGGACCACTTCTCTAGAATGACTTCTCTTGACCAAAGCATCCCTCTGACCACCCAGCCCAAGCTGGTGAAAGGAAACACAAACGCTGACAGCTAAAAAGGAAGAGCCACAAATACAAAGGAGCAGGCAAAAGGGGAATAAGGCAGGACAGGGGGTGGGTTTTACCTACTTTGCAGCGGGCGGGGCTGCCCCACAGCAAGCTGGCGCACCTGGGCACCAGTCAAAGTCAGCTTGTTGCCCTGGATTTGGAAGGTGAGAGGTTTGCTTCCCCCCGCACTAGCCACTGGACGCTGTGCCAGCGAGGCCAACTGTCCGATGCTGACCACTTCACCTGCTGTAAACAGAGGAGTGCACTGTGCATGAGGCCCATTCTGCTCACCACCCCTTCCCTTCCCAGATCCTGATAAAGTACACACTTTGCTCTCCTCCAAAATCTCCAGCCCTCAGCACACAATTTACCATGTCCCAACAAATTCAGCTGCCACCGAAAGCCTTCGGTTCTTCATGTACTACCACTTCCAATCCTACTTAAAAAACTTTTTAATACTTTGTAGTGGCTAAACACCAGACAAACCCAGTTATCACCATTTTGTCTTATTATTATACTTATGACTGCTTACTCTCCCTCTTCCCCAGTAAATGATAAACCCCTTGAGGACTCCTACTTGATTATGAATTACCAATGTCTGGCAAAATGTTAGCTACCTAAAATTTGATACATCAATGTTCCTAAGCTTTTGTTCTCTAGCTCCATGTCACCTAAGCCTCCCTTCCATGTCAGGCTCCTGACTGCAGATATCAAGAACTTACAGGGCAGGCGAGCCTGCATATCAGGAGTCAAGATGAGGCGCTGTGGTGAGGGAGCTGGAACTGGCACTGCTGTGGTGGTGGCAGTAGCCGTAGTAGCAGCAGCACTGGTGGCGGCAGCAGCAGGAGGGGGGAAGGTGTAGCCTGGTGGCACTGTCAGGGGCTTCAAAAGACTGGACGAGCCTGGGGGTGGAGCTGGACTAAGGCGAACTGGAGCAGGTGGTGATGGCTTCAGGGACAGGGTTGGTGTGGGAGGCCGTGAAGTCCCACCTAAGACCCCCAAAGGGGATGGTAACACTATAAACACAAAGCAAACGCCCATCAGATACACTCTGCCTAGCAGCTTTCCTAGTTCCAGGAGAGTCCAACCTCCCTTCTGCCCACTGAACCTCAACTCAGCTTCTTAAAATCTCTTTCCTGAATGACCCCAGTATTCGAGCTCTGGTGAAACTCACCCTGGGGAAGAGGACCACTGTTTGATTGCAGTGAGGGCAACAGAACAGGGCCAGGGGGTCGGGATGATGGAGCAAGTGGGGGCCCATTGGTTGAGGCTGGCATCATCAGTGGTGCTGGCAGAACTGGGGAGACTGAGCCGGGGGTGAGCTGGGATGAGAGTTCAGGGCCTGAAGGGGGACGGACTGGGACAGGGCCCAGGGGTGCCCGTGGGTTGTTCACCACCACCACTGTTCGGCCTTCCTGCTTGGGCACTGGCTGCAGCATCCTATGAAAAAAAACACCAGAGGTGTAAGGACAGAGAAAGAAGGAGCAGGAAAGAAAATCAAGAAGGTGAGGGAGAAAAGACAGAAATTAGAAGAGAACTATGGGAAATGGAAATCATTCCAAAGGACAGGGAATGAGGATGAGTTGTTGTTATGTGCCACTGAGTCACTTGCCCTAAACCCTGCTCTATCCTGTGCCAATTTCACTGCCTCAGACACACCCATCCCGATTAGCCCAGTCACTCAATCAATCCACCTCATAGAGGGTCTTCCCCTTCTGTGCCCCAAAACAAAAGAGGTGGGGGGGGGGGGTGAAGGAGAGAGCAGTGATAGACAGAGGGCCAGAGCCTCCTCCCAGGGCCCTTAGTTATTCTCTTCTCCAAAGTCCTTTCATAGCAATTTGCACCTGCTCCACATCTAACCTCGCTTCTGGCTCTTTCCTTCCCAACTCAATTCCTTCCAGTAGCATAGCTTATTCCTCGGTCTTGGTACCTGTTAACCTTCATTTTCACTGGCTTGGGCCGGGGTGGGGGGTCCGGAGCAGTAGCCACCTCTAGCAGTACCCGGCGAGAGAGGCGGTGCCGGGGCAGAAAGGTGTCAGCTTCATATCGTGAGACGCGGCCCTCTAGGCCAATAAGGTCAAACCGACCCATATCTATCCGCTGTCAAAAGAAGGAACATAGATGCATCAGATCAAAACAAGCAGAGGAGGAAAAACAAAATATCTTTTATTACATGCCTACCAATAACCCCTCAACGCTTTCAAACTCATTAATTCAATAATTCAAAGCACACAAACTATTACAGAAATGGACCACATAACCAGTTTCCTAGGGCAAGAACCTAGGACCAGAGATTAAGAATTACCTTGCCCTGAATGGGATGGTTAGAAAAGGTGAAGCTAGGCAAATAGTGTTGAGGGTCAGAAGTGTGGAGGAGAGGAAGGATACAAAATGCTAGTACCTGGCCTAAAAAAAAATGATAAAAAGGCTGAGACTCTTGAGGACCTCTACCTACCTGGAGGGGGTGGACATCAGTGGCCCACAGCACCAGAGAAGCGGTGCTGAAGCAGATGCCAGGAGTGATGAAAGGGGAGGTAACAGGCCGAGGGTCAAACAAGTTTGGATGATTGCAGACTTTCCGGAGCTGCATAAGGATGTTGATGACGCTCATGAAATGACCTGTAGCTAGTGTTTCCTTAGTTCTAAAGAGGGAGGAAAAAGAAGCTGGTTATTTTGACAGTCACGTTCATTTTCTCTCTAATCCAAGGGTCCCATGCCTCAGCCACTCCTTACGTGGTCTGTGCCATGAAGTCATCATAGAGACAGCGTTGGCGCTTGGAAAGTCGACAGCGGATAACATGCTCATACTTTTTAGGCATCTGCTTCTCAACATCCACCTTAACTCGGCGTAGCAAAAAGGGCCGCAAAACCTGAAAGCAAATAGAGATGGCTGGGAGGGGAGAACTCAGCTGGCTCCAGCATGATGACTGGCTGGGGGCTGGCTCAGCTCATCAGCAAACAATTAAGTGGCCAGCCACCAATGATGCAAACATGAGTCAGGATCACGCACAGAAGAAAAAGGATAATAAGCGGTACATGGAAGCCCTGAGAGGAGAGCAACTAACTGTAGGAAAGGTGACTCAAACATTTCACAAAATAAAAGTATAGCGTAATAGAAAAGTCAACCTTGCAAGGAAGAACAAAAAATGTGGCAGTGAGGATATGAACAGGCACTTCACCGAAGACGACATTCAGATGGCTAACAAACACATGAAGAAATGCTCAAAATCCCTAGCCCTAAGAGAGATGCAAATTAAAACAACTATGAGATATCATTTCACCCCAGTCAAAATAGCAAAATTTAACAGAACAGCAAGCAACAAATGCTGGCGAGGTTGTGGAGAAACTGGAACCCTGATTCACTGTTGGTGGGAGTGTAAAATGGTGCAACCCCTGTGGAAAGTAGTATGGCGCTTTCTCAAAAAGTTGCAAATAGAGATACCATTTGACCCAGCAATTCCACTACTGGGAATATACCCTGAAGAGACCATAGCTGACATCCAAGCAGATATATGCACACCCATGTTTATTGCAGCTTTGTTCACAATAGCAAGGAGTTGGAAACAACCTAAGTGCCCATCAACAAACGAATGGCTAGAGAAGCTGTGGTATATTCACACAATGGAATACTATGCTGCATTAAAAAACAAGGAACTCATGCAATATTATTCAAAATGGTTGACTCTGGAGAACATTATGCTGAGTGAAATATCCCAGCCACAAAAGGACAAATATTACATGATGCCACTGTTGTAGAATGGGACTGTCCTTGGGGTTGGGGAGAGACTGAGTAAGATGGGTTCAATAATGTATACTGCGCTGAAACAGAGGAGGGAGAGAACCGTTTAAAAGAGAGATGTAACTGGGTATTTCTGTCATCACAGGAGACTAGAGCGAGGGCTGCATGGTGGAGGGGACCTGGGGGAGGGTTTGTAAAACAATGAAAGAATCTTTTCTTTTACTTTTCCATAATTTTTGGACTCATGTACTTATAACTTGTTAGTCAAATTTGTGTCTTCTAGGTTGCAACACCCCCATGATACATCTTGAAGGATATGTACATGTACAGCCAAGCACAATCAATAAGAGTGCATCTGAATTCCAAAATCAATCTCCATAATAGTCTATGTGTTTCCTACTGCCAAAGGGGCCCTTTAGAGTAGTGAGAGAAGATCTCCACCCTGAAACCCACAGCGTCCCTTTTCAGCAGGAAGTAGCTAAGAGAATACGCCATCCCCTTTTCCTTATGACTCAGGGTGAAGTCTCTCTCAGGGAGGAGTGATAGGGAATGGCAAAGGATACACTGACAAAGAAGATTAATCAGAACTGGCTTTGACAAGCACTGTGGCATTGGGACAAGAACAAACTGGGAGGAGGGTAGAGAGAATAGTGCAACAATGAATGAGTGGAAGCCCAAAATCTCTGTAAATGTTTATGAAAATTAATAAAATATAATTACAGAAAAAAAAAATGTGGCAGTGAAAATTAAAAATTATGTGTTAGCATAGTCTTTAAGTTGACCCATCAAGTGAAGACAGGTTTAAAGTGAAAAGAGTTAAGGAAGACTCTCTGGTTTACCCAAATGATTCTGAAACTAACCAAGATAGAATAAAATATGTGATAGGCCAGAGATGTTTGGCTTATAACAGTGTATGTCCAAAAGGTTCAAAAATCAAGTCAGAAATTTATGATACAGGCTGGGTGGTAAGAAAGTAATTGCACTTCCCTGCAGAAAAAAACTCCCAAAAACCAAAATATAAAAAATACCAAACCCCAAACAAAAAGTAATTGCTTTAATAATACAAATTCATCATCACATGGAAAACAACCCTTAGCACTGAGCAGTGTAAGATCTGTAGAACAGAATAACAATAAAAAAAAAAATAAACGAGAATCCCAAAAGCTGCCAATTAAAAGCTGTGTAGAGACCACCACAGAGGAAGCGATCATGTGTGTACATGTACAACACCTCCCCCTGCAAAAAGTGACAGGAAGAACACCAATGGAAAGAGAAGTGAAGCTTATCACCCGTGCTCTCCTCAGAGAAGAGAAGGGACAAAAACATCAACAGTGGCAAACAACAAACACTGGCGAGGTTGTGGAGAAATTGGAACCCTTATTCACTGTTGGTGGGAATGTAAAATGGTGCAACCACTATAGAAGGCTGTATGGCACTTTCTCAAAAAGTTGCAAATAGAAATACCATTTGAACCCGCAATTCCATTACTGGGAATATACCCTAAAGAAACCGTAACTGCCACCCAGGCAGATATATGCAAACCCATGTTTACTGTGGCTTTGTTCACAATAGCAGAGTTGGAAACAACCTATGTGCCCATCAACAAAAGAATGGATAAAGCAGCTCTGGTATGTTCACACAATGGAATACTACGCTGCACAGAAAAAGAAGGAACTCATGCAATATTACTCAAAATGGGTGGCCTTGGAGGACATTATGCTGAGATTCGAGAAAAACTGGATAAATTATGTATACTGCATTGAAATAGATGAGGGAAGTGTTTGAAAGCGATATATGATTAGGTATTATGGTTATGACAAGAGTCCAGAATGAAAGTTACGTAGTGGAGTGTACTCGGGGCAGGGGGAAGGGGGAGGATTCTAAACCAATGAAATAATTTTTCTTTCACGTTTCAAAGAGAAGTGAAAACTGGGGGGAGGGGTGGGCAGGGAGAAAAATGTAATGATTGTATGGAAATCCAAAATCTCTGTAAACGTTCATTAAAATTAATGATAAAAAAATCATCAGAGTAAAAAACACAACAAAACATCAACACTGGAGAAAACAAGCAGTGTGAGGACCAAGAGAGGTCACTCAATGTAGAAATCAGTGAAGTGCCTGAAGACTCCAGCTTGACAAGAGAGTAGCTCAGCATCCCTCCCCACAACGGCATTCTGGATATTGTCCTTCCAGCATCCTGGACAGCACTAATATGGATGAAACTGACAGCAGCATTTCAAAAGATTAGAAGGGAAAACTTAAGAGATGGTGAGTTTATGTTAAGAGGAGGACAATTCAGAAAAGGAAAGCAAGAGAGGAGTACAACTCAAGAAATACAATCAATGTTAGTAACTTGTATGTGTACAAGTTGTTACTTCATGTTCTGCTCTGCATGTTTCCAATAATACCAAGATTTTTCTAAGTTTCCTGGACAAATTGTTACGGGCCTTACCTTGTGGAGGCGTTTGACTAGCCCTTCATTATACTCTTGGCTGCCCTCAATCATGCCCGTTAAAGGATTAGAGAACCACTCCTTGAACTCGCGGTGAGACTGGAAGACATGAGGCATCAAAAAGTGCATCAAGGACCAAAGCTCCATGAGGCTGTTCTGCAAGGGTGTCCCTGTCAAGAGCAGGCGTCTCTGGCTGCAAAAAAACAATGGTGAATTAGAGCAAAGATGGTTCACTAGGTCCAACCTTCCTGGCATCCCTGATACTCAATTCAGGCTGCCTATCCTCCAGGTCAAGTCAATGCCCACAAATCCCATCTCTATCTCCACCTGTTGAAATTAAGCAGTGACTGCCAGCGTTGTGACTTGAAGTTCTTGATGTTCTGAGCCTCATCTAGAATGAGATAGCGCCAGTTCTTGCGGCGGAAGGCCTGGTGGTCCTGCAGCACCAGCTTGTAAGATGTAATACACACATGGAAGGCGTTGGGCTTGGTCCAGCCCTGAGGGAACAAAGAAAAAGGAACAGTGGAGTAAAAAGAAAAATGGACAAAGGGAAGAGATAACGAGCTCCTCAAAGCACAGAAATCAGGTAAAGAGAAAGGCTCTGGAAAATAAAGCAATAGAACAGAACAGAAAGAGACTCATCTAATGGCCTGAACAGCAAAGGAGTGATTAGCAGAGAAAGTAACCACGTGGTGACTCAAACCTGCCGCTTGAGCTTCCTCTCCTTCTGGGCTCCATAGTAGGTGAGGATTTTAAAGCTGGGGCACCACCGTTTCAGCTCCATCTCCCAGTTCAACATCACACTGGTGGGAACAATGATCAAGTGGGGACCCCAGTTACCTGTTTCACACATACATAAAAATAAAAAAGGAGAAATAGTAAGGAAACAAAGATTGTGATTCTGATTCAAGTATAGTAACCTTGACCACTCTGCTCTTCTATTGCCCCTTCCTAAGAAAGCGAGTGGAGCTACAGTCCACAGGAAGCAGCACTATCAGCCTAAAGGCTACGCCTCTCTGGTAGTCTGAATCCACTAGCAGTTCCATGGGACAATCTCCTCCCATGTGGTTCCCCCCCACCCCCATGTGATTTATAACCTCCAAAAACCCTCTGAAGGCTCAGTTTTGAGTCCATTCTGACTCACCGGCATAAGAAATCTAGCATCTATATTAATTTCTGTATCTAGTTAACTAAGTGCATCAGTTAATCTGCTATGCCAGCCAGAAGCGAGATAGCAAGTAGCTCACCATCTTGCTGCTATAGTCACCACTGAACAATCTCCCAAATATTAGCCAAGGGTGCTCATGAGCAAAGGCCCTGCTAGGCTACCTTTTTCACAGGCCAAGTGTGCAAGCAGGGAGATGGTCTGGATTGTCTTGCCCAGCCCCATCTCATCAGCAAGAATGCCATTTAGTTTCTTCTCATACATAGTAACCAGCCAGTCCAGTCCAATGTGTTGGTACTCCCGGAGATGGCCCCGTAGCAGCAAGGGAATAGGGGTCTTCACCTGGTAGGAAGGAAAGAGGTCTCATGATGGAACTGCAGCAACTGCCATTACCAGACAGGAAAGTTTAGATTAAAGAAAGCAGAAATTGGGTCTAAAGATACCTGGGTGGTGGCCAAAGTGTAACCCTTGGGCTGGAGACTTTCTGCAGCTGCAGCAATGTCAGTAATTTCCTTTTTAGGGCCTAGAGTGGTGGTGGGCCCTGGGGTAGGAGGCCCGCTGCCCCCATCTGCCTCACTCTGCTCTTCATCTCGAGCAAGCAGGTACTCCACCCCAAAGTCGTCGTCATCTTCGTCCTCATCTGCTTGGCTCTGTGATTGGGCTTCATCAGAATCCTCAGACTCTGATTCCTCAGACTCTGAACTACCACTTGTTTCTTCCTCTTCTGAATGCTCCTCGTCTTCATCCTCGCTCTGCTCCTCAGCAGAGTCTAAAGCGTTGAGACCAAGGTTTACAGTTCACCTTCCCTTTCTCCAATGGCTGCCCTCCCCAGCTTTAGGCTCACAACCACATTCACCTGACTGACTGCTACTGTCCTCCTGAGGAGCCTCTTCAGCTTCTGTACCTTCCTCTGGTTCACTATCAGAGCTGTTCGCCTCAACCTCCTCTTCTTCCTCCTCCTCCTCCTCACTGCTCTCAGAGCCTGGGGCTGAGTTATCAGAGGCATAGGCCCCTGCATACTGCTGCAATAGTTCCTCCATAGACAGTTCCCCTGGAGAAGAAATCAAAGATTAAAAACTTCAGTCGCTTCAAGGGAAAAGGGCTAAAAATGGTCAGATTAACTTCATCTCTGCAGACACTAAACTTGATCTAAGTCTGATAGTAGGCAAAAGAGCTTACTTCCACAGTTCCAGCTATCAAAATCAAGGCCTACACCCTGAGCTAGATCTGTCGATGGTGCTGCCTATCCTTGGGAGAAACCTTATCAACCCAATGATCCACCATTGCCAAGAGTGTCATTCGTGTCTACATCCTTAGCGCTGTACAGAATAAGTAGTAAAATTTTTAGTCACCTTCTCGAGCCAACTCGCTCAGCTCCATGGCATGATCTACTTCCCCTTCTAACTGCTCCTCAGCTGCGATGGTGTCTTCTTCATCCTCCGCTAGGTAAGAGAATAAAGGTGTATTAGCAGGGATAGAGTACAGATCACAGTTCAAGTAAAAGAAGCGAGACAATCTTAAAGTTAGGGCCAGATAATTTAAGAGTCAAGGACAACAGGATGAAGTGAACTCGTCTGACCTTCATCCTCATTAGCAGTAAATTCGTCATCATCTTCATCAGGATGCCAAGGTTGGCTGTTGTGCTTTGTGATAGAAGAGGGTGGTGGGGTACCCTATATGGCAAAAGATGGAAAGGGCCTAAAGTGAAAATACCAATAAAAGGCACAAATGTAGAATAAAATGCCAGAGAACTGTCTGTTCCATTGAGTGACAGCTGCCACTGGCAGAGTCCCAGGGCATGGATGCAATCAAAGGTTTTCTCTCAGCACCAGCTACCAAATCCTGGTCCCACAGTCTGGGAGAGGACCTGTGAAAGTGCTAGATACCAAAACAACACCCAATACCCTCCCCATTATGTCAGACCTAAGCAGAGAAACAAAGAGCTGATGCCCAGAAGACTTTATGGTCACCAGCCACTCTCCCTACCTGGTTAAGTCAGTAAGGAAGTAAGATTACTCCCCTTTCACAGAAGTGGCAAAAAACAGGCCAGAAAAATCAACACGTCAATCTGAAAGCACGTAGTACATTCTGTTTTCAGTTATCAGAACCTGCCTATCTAGGACCATAACTGATCTCAAACACAGACTCTTCTGTACCAATTTCCAAACAGGAATCGAATCTCCTTAATCAGAGAGGGTTCCTGAAGACCACAAACCAAACTCATAGGCCAGGAGTCAGACCCTGAAGCGCTCCCTCTGCTCCCACGGAGTCTTCCACTGCCCCTACTGCCAGTACCTTCGACACCTGAGCGGGCTCTTCACCACCTTCTTCAGGCTCATCTCGAGTGTCACTATCATGAGATGAAGGAGTTTGCGAAGGGCTGGAAGGCCCTCCTAGCAGCTGAGGGGGCAGGGAACGAAGCAATTCTTCTAGTGGCAACTCTCCCTCACGTCGAAGCAACTCAATCTCACGCCTTTGGGTCTCTGCGTCATTGCCTTCCTGTTGTTCTTCAACCTCAATCGTCTCTTCATCATCCTCTTCCTCCTCTTGGGGTTGGAAGTCCCCATCTATAGCACGAGAATAAGGTCACAAAGTCCACGGGGCCCTGCAAGCCACAGGGTGGGTTTTCAGCTCCGGAAAGGGTATATGGGAAAGAATAACAGGGCCAAAAGGGATACACACCTTCATCATCCAGCCGAGAAGCAGGCGGTGGAGGACTAGAGGCTGCGGAGCCAGTGTGAGAAGAGCCAAGGCAGGGAGAGGAGCCAGCTTTGCTGGAGGCTAATGGCTGGTTGAGGCTCTGTGACAAAAGGTCTGAATACTTTTCTGTTTGTCCTACAATGAAGTCCAGATGCAGATCCAGAGCTTTTTTGCGCTTTTCTTCAAGCCGAGATTGTTGCTTGAATTGCACCACCTACCCCAAACAAAAAATAAAAAGAGTCCAACATAACCATTTAATGTATGTAATGGGACTACTAGGAGAACAAACAGGTTTGTCCTGGAGAGGGTGAAGCTGGAATGCTCCTTGGAGCCAAGGATTCCGAAGCTTCATCTGACATACTTTGTGCATATTACAAGGAGTGACTGGTCCTTGGAGAAGGACATCATGTTTGGAAGAGTGGAGGGGATGGCGCAGGAGAGGAAGACCCTCAATGAGACGGATCGATTCTGTGATTGGAGCAGTGGGAATGAGTGTATTTGAGACGGCGAGGTTGGCACAGAATAGAACGGCTTTTAGGGTTTTTGTACGTAGGGTTGCTATGAGTTCTCAAGCAACTCGATGGCACATAACAATAACAAATGTTGTGAATTAGGTCCCCTCAAAATAGATGCAGTAAAGCCTAACCGTGACTGTCTGCCTACCTTCTCCACATTGCTCCAGAACTGCCGCACATCCTTGGCCATTGTGGAAGCAATTCGGCGCAGCTTGGCCTGCTCCTCCCTCCGGGCCCGCTCTTCTTTCTGCCGCTGTTCTTCATGGTGCCGGATCACCATGCGCACCACCTATGGGAACAAGGACCCAAGGCAAATACTCACAGGCCAGAACCCTCTCAGCCTACGGCAAAGAATATAATCAAGGCCAAGAAACCCAGGCAGAGCCTCCTGAGATTGATGAGGACTCTACACAACTCTCTTTGCTTTCAGCCAACCAACCAACCACAGATACAACACTGAACACATACCTTACGGGCTACTCCTCGTTTCCATCGGCGCTCCTGAGCAAAGTCGGCAGAGAGCCACTGCATTTCCTCACACAGATAGTCCCAGTGGCCTTTGGGGCGAGGAGGCTCTGGCACCTTGGGCAGCCTCTTTAATGACCAGAAACCTTCCTTCCGGAGCTCAGCAATCCGCGTCTCAATCTCAGCCTCCTAGGGGGAAAGACCAGGTTGATGAAGAGTTCCAGACATGCTCTCCACCTTACAGAGGCATTACTAGGTGGTGACTACGTCTAGGCAATGATCTGACCGTTTTATGATTATCGTAAGTGGTTAGTCCTCATACTAATCCTATAAGCAGGTAAGGTGCTCTCTCCACATGATGAAAACGGTATCAGAAAAATAACTTCCTCAAGATTAGTTAGGAAATTATAAAAACTAGTAATCTAAAATAGGTCTCATGACCCCAGCCATCTATTTAATGTTCAGTTCTCTCACACAACTTGTATTTCCTTGGGAGGCATCAGAAAAGTGGAAAACATATTCCCAGAACATCCTACAGCAGGGGCTTCCTTCTCAACCTGAGCACTAGATCCATTACTAGCACACTAGTGGCGTGGAGTTTATCTATGCTCTAATAAGCACAGCAAAATGCTATGACACCCAGGTTAACTCACAGATCTACTTTTTAAAACGCTGTTTCCACCAAAATATAATTTATTATTTGGAAACACTAAAAAAGCTATACACAAAAAGGTTAGTAGTTACAAGCACTAATGAATAACTAACAATGAACATTTATCAGTCTCTACTTTGATAGAGAGATCAGCTGGCCCAGTGGACAGAAAAGCGATACTACCAAGCCAGCGGCCCTCGGACCTGTCTTTCATTGTTTTTGTTCAGACATTCCTCTAGGTCGCATAGCCTTGGTGTACAAGTTGCCGTACAGCGGTCACTTTTGGTTGCTGTGAGGCTGAACACTGTGACACTGATGTGTCAAATGCGTTAATGGCTGGCTACCCAATGCGGACAGAGTGTGGGGTGGGGTTCCCGATTAAAACAAGCTTGGAAGGAGGAGTGGCATCCACTTCCATAACAGCTTGCCTGCAGAAACCCTATGAACCTAGAGAGAGGATGAAAGGCACCCAAGCATCGAGGACTCTCCTTCATAGGGTCACTATGAGTTGCCTGTGACTCGACGGCACTGAACAACAACTTTGATTATAGACGTCCTGGGTGAAGTAAATGCTTACGCACTCGACTCCTATCAAAAAAAAAAAGGTCAGCAGCTCGAACTCACCCACGTGAAGCTCAAGAAGGCAGGTCAGGCAGTTTGCTGCAGAAGTAAAAATCTTAAAATTCCTATGAAGCAGTTCTATTCTACACATACGGGGTAACCCCAAATTGGAACCAACTGGAGGCCAGCTAATAAAAATCTGTTACTTTAATAAAATATGTAAAAAGAAACCATTTATTTTTTTTTTAACAGAGAAGAGTTAAAGACGCAAGAAAACTGCTGAGGTTCTTTTCATTATTCCTGTCGTCTTCTGAGAAAGCAAAGTCAAAGGAAATGACACAGAAGAAAAGAGACAAGATGGGACTACACTAGTTAGTATTTACTCTGAGTGTCGAGTGTCCAGCAGAATCACGAAAGGTTTGTTAAAACACTGTTGGACCACACCTCCAAGACTCTCTAAATCCATGACGGGAACCCTCAACCTCTCAGTAAAACTCCGCCTTTCTATCAAGTTCCAGAGCTGCAGGACCAAGGACCAAGCACACCCAGTGTTATATAACAGAGAAACCCGTAAATCCCTGAACACTCATAGTTTACAAGGCATTTTCACCTGCGTGTCCTCCCCTTCAACTTCAACTCGAACAGTATACAAACTATGACAACCATTCCCATTTCATAAAAAGTCTTAGCCAAGCAAGATTTACAGCCTTGGACACCTTACAGAATATAACCATGAATTAAAAGGACATGAGAGGTGAGCTCTGGGGGCCTAGTGGCAAGAAGCTGCACTGTAATCCCAGAGATGTGAGGTTCGAATCCACCAGATGCTCTGCTGAAGAAGGAGGTACAATCTCCTCCTGTACCAGTCAGCTCTGATTTGACGGTACATACATTAAAAAAAAGTAACAAAAATTAAAAGAGGACATGAGGGCAGTGGGTATGGTTCTGCGTTTCATTTTATAGAAAATGAGACTCAAGTTCAAATAATAATTAGCTCAAGATTATACAAGATTGTGAACAAACTATGTCCCAAATGTATTACAAAAAAAGGAAATATGTAAAATATCCACAGAAAAGCAAGTTCAGGAAAGGTCCCAACACAGGCCCTCACAAAACGTACATGCTTGGCCTGCTCTGCAATTTCAGCATGGCTCTTTTCCCACTTTGGGCCCTTGTTAGCCAGGTCAGCAGATTGGGGTAAGCTGAGGCCCTCCAGGGACACGGGGGCACCATCTGGAGGGCCTGGAGGTCCATCCAAAGAATCTTGAGCTAGGTGCTGAGGGGAGATGCCACCTGCCCCACTAGAGGCTGGGGAACTGGATGAGGCAGGGGACACAGGATTGCTGCCTGTCATGCCGTCCGACACCATCTAGAAGAGGAGAAAGAAATGCTTAGCATTGTACTAGCAGTTTTAAGTACGTTATTTCATCTTCACATAACCCCAACTCCTCAGTAAGTTATCAATCTCATGCAAACTGAGATATGGGGTAAATAGGGTTAATAATAGCTACTTAAGGGAGCAGAGTCAAATTATAGAAAATCTTCAGATTTCCCCAAGTCCCAAATGAACAACTACTATACCTTTAAATTTTAATACCCCTTTCAGGACCTCAGAACTCTTGGTGACACAGCGCCTGATCTATCAGGCTGCTAAGCAGAAGCCGGTGGCCTCAACCTACCAGCCGCTCCACAAGAACAAGATGGGCAGCATCTCTCTATAACTGACAGCCTTGGAAACCCAATGAAGGGGCACTATGAGTTGGAAAAGACTAAATGGCAGTGGATTTGGAGCTTTTCCAGAACCGGAATGATTTCCCTCATTTAAAGAATTCTGTCGTCCCCCCCCTTTTCACAGCAGAATGGTAGATTCATTCATGCAGTAAATTTGAGCTACCACCAAAATCAGGAGTCCCCAGGTAGTACTCACAGTTAGAATACTCAAATGCTAATAGAAAAGTTGAGTTGGAGATTATTCCACCCATCCACCCCACCAATAAATTACTAGTATTTTCTTGGGAGAAAAAAAAAAAAGAAAGAAAAGTTAGAGATTAAAAGGTGCCAGTGGAAAAACACTTTCCAGGGAACCAGCCACTGAAAACCCTTGGAGCAGTTTTGCTAACTCACCTAGGGCTGCTGTTAGTATAAGCATCAACTCAAAGGCAACTAGCTTTTACCACCAAGACCATCTTCACTTTCAACACCCATCCTAGTACTCCCCTATAAAGGAGAGACACTCCCTCTGCTAACCAGTCATACTTCACTTTATAAACTAAAAAGAATTATAACCAAAGTCCTCTTAAAACAAAGATACCAAGGAATTCACAACATCTGTATCAACCTCATAGTGCACCTCTAAGATTACTACTGCAACTAAGTAACAAATGTCTATACAGTCAATAAACTTGAGCAAAGCTTTTTCCTACTCTACATTCTTCTTTGGTAGGAGAAAACTGCAATAGTACACACTATCCATAAAACTTACACTGTTGCAATCAGCAAAGTATTAACACTTTCCAAAGATAGTCATAAGCATGCTGCCTCAACCTCTACTTCTCTATGACCAACTCAATTATTTTAGGGAAGTGAAGGGTTTCCACACACACTCTTACAGGTCAACCTGATACTAATACCTAGACACCTTCACATATTACCACCCAGTCCATCAAACATAAAACATTCAACTACCTAGGTAACAAATCAAAGAAATGTGCCTAGCACGTGTTAAGATTTCTGCTGTCCCAAAGTCACCAGTCCAAAAAGCAGAGAGAACCATCTCTCCCAACATGCCTGTGTCTGCAGGATTGGGAGCTGAGGGTGAGCAGGGGAGGGGCTGCTCTGCATGGTCCCACTCTCAGGCTCCTCGTTGGATGCCTGAAGAATGACTGGGTCGTCACCACTGCTGCTGGCCGAGGGGCTGGCGTCCGGCTGCAGGGCATGCTGGGAGCTGGCCTCATTCTGGGCCACCGGCCACCGGGACCCGCCTTCCAGGGCCCGGGGCCCACCAGGGCGTCCCAGCCTCCGCTCAGGTCCACTAGTTTCTGGAGCACCTGTAAAGAAGAATGAATTAAACAGATTAAATAAAGAAAACCCCAAGGGTATTAAAAAAACCAACAACAAAAAAAACCTTGTTTCCTACACATTTACTATGGGTTTGATACCTTATTAAACACTTTTCTTATGCTACGATTTTCACACAACTCCCTTATAAACCAGGTATTTTTTTATTCACAAATATTTATTTCATTCTCAATATATGTTTACCATTCACTTGGAGAGTAGACCTGGCAATCTAATTCCACAAAGACTACAGCCTCAGAAGTCACATAGGACAATTCTCCTCTGCCCTATAGATTTCACTGAGTCAGAATTAGTTTCAAAGCACTTGACACACCCATTAACACTTTGATAGTATCACAGAGAAAAGATCCCAGAACTAAATGGAGCTTACACAAACAAAAAGATCTCAATCCTGAAACAACATATCACTTACAAAAGATCACACAGTAGGGAAATAATGGACTTAACTAGGCAGTCTGATGCCAAAATCCGTTACTCTCCTTAGTAGAAAACCAGGGTGACCACATCTTCCTCTAGCCAAAGCCTCAAGAGAAATAATAATACTCAAATTATCACCTTATACCTCCCGAGCAAGAATCTGGAAGTATGGACCTTTAAGCTCTCCATTCATTATCTCAGCCATTTCATTCATCAGCATCAGCACACACCCAAAGTATCTGGAGCTTAACTCTCACCTGTGTGAGCTGAGACCACACTCCCTGTAAAAGTCTGAACTTCCACGGTGCTGCCGTACTGAGGGGAATCACGTCTGAAAGAAATACAAGGGAAAGGGGACAGTCAGGAGGTAGGAATCCCCACCTGTCAATCTCTATCAAAGCCTTTATTTCAGGTTTTGGGGAGTTCTGAATCTGTTCAGAAGCTTAAAAGAGAACTCCTGTGGTGGGGAAAGATCACATGCGGGGGGAGGGGGGGGAAGCAACTCAGGTTTTTGAAAACCGACTCCCCTAAAGTGGATCTAGCAGCTGCAAAGAAGGTAAAAGTGGCGCGCGCGCGCACACACGTTTCAAAAGCGTTAAGGCTTAAAGCTTCCAATCACTGAGAGTCAGAAACAAGGCAAAAAATTAAAACGGCGTGTCTACAAGTTTAATCCAAGTGATGAAACACGACAGCGTGCTCTCCTTTCCAGGGAAGTCAGGAGCAGGAGTGGAATGATGCATCCGTCCTGCCTCCCTGGAGGCCTGCACCTGCGCCAGGGCTCCTCTGCTATCACAGTCCCTGCGTAAAGCAGGGGACCCCAGACGGGTGGGCAGGAGTGCGGACGGCCGCAGTGCCAAGAGCCACGGAGCGGAAACGAGGAGCGTTAACGCACACAAGGCCCGGAAGTGTTCGCCCCGGTGTTTAAGGAAATCTCTCGGCCAGGTGCTGCCTTGAATCCACTGCCTCATTCACAGGAGTCCCAGGACCTCAGCGTCGCTCTCAGAGGCCCAGAAACTTCAACTCCCGACCCCAGCCTTCCAGCCTCCCGAGCCGGCTGCCCCGCAGTGACCCCTGACCTCCGCCCTCGGGGCCCGCTGACCCTAAGTCAGCCCGCCCCCTCCTGGATTCCCACCCCACCCAGCGAGCGGCGGCCGGGGGGGAGGGGCGTGCGCGCCTGGAGGCGGAGCGAGCCGGCTGCGCGCACCACCGAAGGGCTCCCGCCAGAACCCGAACCCACGCACGCGAGGGTCGCAGGGCAGGGAAAGGCGCGCATCCCAGCCCGCCTGCGGCCGCCCCCACCAAGCTGCAAAAGGCGGAGCAAAGGGAGGATGCGGGGCCAGCAGATCTGGGGGCCCCGAACTGGCTCCGGGGGCGCGCGCGCCCCCGACTCTCCCCAAGACCACCCCCTCCCCGCCTCGTCCCGCGCGCCCCTGACGTGGGGGAGGGTTGGGGTTAGTGGGCGGGCAGGTGCGCACCTGGGTCCGTCCTCTCAGAGCTCGCTCCCTCGCTCGGGCACGCGTGCGCAGAAAGGCGGGAGGGGAGAGGAGTCGCGCTGGGGCGCAGCGACGACCGGCCCGGCCCTGCTCAGTCTGTCTATAGGCGCGCGCCGACAGCTTGCACACCGGCCCCGGGGCCCCGGCCTTGGGTGCGCGCGCAGCACCCCGGGAAGGTGGGAGGGGAGGCGGCGGCGAAAAGATGCGCGCGCAGTCACCCGTCAGGGGAGGGGGAAAGGAGGGCGTCCGCCATCTTGTCTCCCTCTCCTTACCTGCGTCCTCGGGGGCGTGCACACCACCCCCCTCCCAAAGAGGAGGGGGGAGAGCCCCCTCTTGGCCGCTCCTTTCACGGCCTTTAAATTCCCTGGGGGCCGAGGTTCCTGCCACCGCCTGCCCGCCACCGCCCCCTCTCACGGCACTGAGATACGTGCGGTGGGTGGGGAAAAGGAGAAACACTACTCTCAGCAAACCGCCGCCGCCACTCCCGAGGCCTCACCAAAATGGCCGCCGCTGTCTCGGCCGCCACCGCTACCACCACCGCCACAGCTCTCTATCGCTACCGCCTGCGCGGCCCGTCCTCTCGCGAGACACGGCAGCTTGCGGCGGGGGTGGGGGAGAGGCCCGCGTGCTGGAGGAGGGCGCCGCCCGACGCGCACTGCCTGCTGGGAGTTGTAGTTCGCTCGGAGGCTCCGCACTTGTCCTGTAACTGTCTTTACACCCACTCACCGCGCAAGGTACATTTGGGACTGCAGCGCCGCTGGCACACCAGGCCGCTTCTCTTTTGTTTTTCCCCTCTATTTTTTTTCCAACTAGATCACCTGGTGAGCTGACGTGATTTGTCAGGTACCTTAATTAGGTTAGAGGCTCGGGTGACCTTAGTGGGTTAGGTGTGTTGGGCTGCTTATTGAAAGACTAACAGCTCAAACCTGCTTTCAGCGCTGCTGGAGATAGGAGATAGCTAAGACAATCTCCTTTGGTTAATATTTACAGTCTTGGAAAAACGATATAGGCTCGTGATAAATTGGATTCGACTCTGCAGCGAGTTTGGCTTTCAGCTAGTTCGCAGTGGAGGCCGGACCTCCGATTGTTGTGGCAGCCCACCTTGCTAGCGCCGCTTCCTTTTAACTGACCTTACCTGTCTCAAGTACCAGTTCTACCAGTCTGCAGATTTTCTAGGTTAAGAACCCCTCTGGAAGTCTTTGGGAAGCTCCTCTACTTTGCACTGAGTGCTGCTTGTGCGTTGATAATCTTTCTATAGGTGGAGGCTCAGAGGCTAACCAAGCCCCAGAGACCCGACACGCTCTCTCAGGCACACTGCTTCCCGAAGATAATGCACATGCTCCCCCAAATGTTGCCACCTGAAGTGTCTATCCATATAGGAGCCCTGGTGAGTAGTGTGTTACTGTCTTAGTAATGTTGGGCAGCTAACGAAAAGATCAGGAGTTGGAATCCACCAGCCATTTCTTGGGACATTCTTCTCTCATAAAGTCGCCAGGAGTCCGTTTAGCCTCTTTGAGAACAAAGTCCATTCAAGGAGCCCGGGTTCGGAAGTTCTCATTTGGTTCCATTCGGTTTAGTTCTTCCTGTCCCACACATAGCACATGGGGCACTTTCTTGTGTCACTGATTTGAAATTCTAGTTTTCTTTTTTCTTAATATTTTTTTTTCTTTTTATCGTGTGTTTACCATCAAATCCGATCTGACTGGTACAGGAGGAGATTGTCCATCCTTCTCCAGCAGTGCATCTGGTAGATTCGAACTTTTCACCTCCGGGATTGCAGTGCAGCTTCTTGCCACTAGGCCACCAGAGCTCTCCTGAAATTTTAGTTTTCTTTAAGCAAAGATCAAATGTGGGAAACCGAAAGCCTAATAGAGCCAGAACAGGAAAACAAAGTGACTGACAGATGAGGAGTATGAGACAGAACACATGCTGTGTCTAAAATGTGCAGCTACTGTTTCATGATACCTGGAGTTCACTCCATGGACATTTTGGTCAAAATACAGTGAATATGGATATAGAGAGATAGAAAGGTAGGTAGGTAGATGTTTTTGCTGTTATGTGCCGTCAAGTCACTGTGACTTATAGCAACCTCACGTACAACAGCCCTGAAATCCTGTGCCAACTTTACTGTCTCTAACGCACCTACCCTCATTACCCCAGTCACTGTATCAATGCATCTCATCTATGGTCTTCCTCTCTTTCTCTGTCCCTCCATCCTCCCAAGCATGATATCCCTTATCAAGGACCAGTCCCTCCTTGCAACATGCCCAAAGTATGTCAGACGAAGCTTCAGAATCCTTGCCTCCAAGGAGCAGTCTGACTTCACCCTCAAAGATAGATGGTGTTAACTGCCTTTCTAACTCATGGTGACCCCATTCATTATGGTAGAACTGTGCTACAGGATTTTCTCATTTGTAATATTTTTTTTCCTTCCCTCCTTGCTCACCTTTTTCTTGGCTGTAATATTAACAAAAGCAGATGGTCAGGCCTTTTCTTCCGCATACTGCTGGATGAGTTCAAAATTGCCTTACATAAGGGGAGCTCTGGTGGACTAGTGGCAAGAAGCTGCAATGCAATCCCAGAGGCGCACGGTTCAAATCCACCAGATGCTCTGCCGGGAAAGGAGGGACAATCTACTCCTGTACCAATCAGATCTGATTTGACAGTACACACACACACACACACACACACACACACACACAAAATAATAATAATAAATTGCCTTACATATATTAAACAAGTGTTCTTATGTGCTGCCTAGTTACTGTCAGCTCAGCACTTCTATATGACAAAACTGCTCCATCAAGTTTTCTTTACTGTAACCTAATCTTTACGATAGCATTTCTTAAGCTC